ATATATATATATATATATATATATATAATAAATAAATAAAACCCAAAGGGGATAATCTTACCGATCGATATATTTCCTTACTTTGAGTTTATTTTATTTTAAGGGTAAGCCTTTTCTTTTTTTTGTCCCCTAGAGTACTAGTTTGGTTGTGTACCATTGACAAAAGGGGAGAAACAAAAAGAGGCGATGAATGGTTCGTCTTCCACTCTGAAAGGTGTTCAGTGAAATACAAGACTTTGTCCTTCTATTTTGGAAAGGTTAAGTGTTTATCGTCAAACGTGATCTGAATAACATATACACAAGCAAATATTGATATACGTTGTGATACGACATAACATTAAAAAAAATGCACAATTCATTTTTTTCGTTAAATGCATTTTCTAATCCACTGGAGGAGAAATCAATCGTTTCGTGTTGATGGAGATTTCTGCATTACATTTCCTGTATCATTTCTTTTCTTCAAAGAAAATCGCCTTATTTTCCTTTAACAGTTTTTTCTCCTCTTTCGATTCAAAGCTCTTTAGCACAAGAAAGTTGTTCATTATAATTGCCAAGAGTTTTTTTCATTTAGAAATACTTTGTCAGACATAATTTATATTTCTAGGCCTTTCTATTACTTTCATATGTAAAGAACCTTTATAGGGTTTCAATTTTATCGCAATTGATCCTTTTCATTACCTTTTTCTTGTACACCAAACTGCAATATTCAACACGTGTCGCTAGGCCACCTTCTATCACATGTGGTTTTCCTTTCTATGGGGTCGGCCATGGTAGTGGTGGCATCTAATTCGGATCGGTCCTCGCGGAATCGTTCGCGTGCGCTGGAAGGGCATGAATCCCACCGATTCGAGGATGATAATGCAGTCCATCCTGGTCCATAGTTCTTGCCGCTCGTGCGCTTTGCGCGACGGCGGCTCGCTTTTCGGCCTCCGCCTGCACCAACGCCCGCACGAGCTCATCAATCTTATCCACGAGGGCGCGATTATCAGTGCAAAACTTATCCCGCGCGGCGACGCACTCCTTCAAGGCCTGCTCCGCAGCGCGATTGTGGGTTTCGAGCTCCGCCAGCGTCTTTTTCAGCTGCGAGAGAGCCTCGTCATGAGCCTCCAACTGCGCCTTTTGCGCGCCCACGACGGCGTTTAACTCCTCGCGCTCGCGGTGGAGCACCTCGCGGGCCGAGGTGAGCTCCGCCAGGTCGTTTTGCAGCCCCACCACGCGCTGTTCGGCGGTCTTCCACCGCTCCTCCGCCTCCCGCACGCCGGCCTCGAGTTCTTTGAGGTTGGCCGCGTGGAGGTCGACTTGGGCCTGCGATTCCACCACGCGGGCCTGCATCTCTTCCATCATGGCCTCGAAGCTGTGAACGGTCTTCAGGCCGTATCGGCGGGCGTTTTCGCTCAGCGGGTTTTGGCTCATCGCGGCAAGCTGCTCGCGGAGCGTCTTTTCACGATCCTTCCACGCCGCTTCGGTTTTGTGCAGGCGGTCGATTTCGCCTTTTTGGCTTTCCACGCAGATTTGGAGGTCGCGTATGGTTTGGTTGAAAGTGTCCCAGCGCGGCGAATTTTCCTCCTCCTCCTCCTCCTCCTCCCGCTTTTCCCCTTGAGTTTTGTTGTCAGGGGCGGATGAATCGTCCATCGTGGTCGCCTTCTCAAACGGCCCCCCAAGCCCTCGCTGGGAGATAAAATAGAGCGCGTCCTCGAGCCGATTTTCCGTCTCTTGGCATTTCTGCACCGCCTGGCGAAGCGCCGTGTCCTTTTCGAGCAACTCGTCCCTGGCCTGGGCGAGCTGCGAAAGCAAATCCCGCACGCGGACCTCGAACCCTTCGCCCTTCTCTCGCATATTCCGCACCAGCTGCGTGTGGGCCTTGATCAAGGCGTCGTCGGGGTACAAGTCCAGCAAAATCGCCTGGGTGTGGTCGCCCGCGAGGAGGGCGTGTTTGACCTTGCCGAGTTGAAGCTCCAGCGCCGCGTTGTGGGCCTCGCCATCCGCCAGGGCCCGCTCATGGGCCTCCGCCTCCTTGACCAGGTTCGCAATTCGGGACTCGTGCTGGGCGCAGAGTTGGGTCAGTTGGGCATGGCGCTGAGCCTGGTGGGCCATCGCGGCGGCCTGGGCCTCTCCGGCGGCCTGGCTCTCCTCGGCCGCGGCGCGCAAGCGCGCCTGGCCGTCGTCGCACTCGCGGCGAAGGGCCTCCTTCTCGCGGTAGGCGAGGGCGAGCTGGGCGTCGCGGTCCTCGACGGCGGCCCGG